ACGTCGCCTTAAACGAAATTTAAAGTTTGCAGTAGTAGATATATTTGTTATAGGCTATTGCTTTTAGTTATTTCCTAACAAGTGTTAATAGTTAATAATAATTATAAGTAAATTTTTTATTTCATTTTAGATAACTTTTATTTTTTGGCTGTTACATTGGTGTAGTACCGCAAACTAAACGTTCTTACTATTAAAGGTGTTCTTTTTTACTTGGACAATGTAGTCAACATTAAATGATGTGGAGTGCACATTATTCTAAGGAAACATACTTTCATGATGTTCAAAATGTTCTACAGCCTATAACATTTTGTTATAAAAAAAAATTAAAGGTTCGTTACAACAGTCTCAGATGTTTATATATATATATATATATATATATATTATTGAAGCCTTTGAGTTCAAAGGTACATTTCATTAAATATTTAATAATATTTAGGCCACGTACTATGAATTGTGACCAATAAATGTAAAAAAAAAAAAGAGTAAATGTAACAAGATGGTTAGTGGGGGTAGAATTAGAAAGCTGACTGTCACTCAAATATATATTTTTACTTTGATTAAAACAGTTGCTGGACATAGTATGTAATTCATCATCTAAAAGTGGCTTCAAAAGATTGTGGTGATTTAATTACAAGCACAACAATTATGCTGTGGAGCATTAAGATCATCTCCGGTGATAGCACTTAAGGTTGGATGAAATTTATCAAGATATATGGACAGTTTCAAATTACACTTGTACAAAGCTAAAAAGCTTCTGAAATGCTGTCAAACTTTATTAAATTATTGGTCACTGAGAACAAAAAAGATTAAAAATGTTGATTAGCTCTAGTTTTCAAAATATGGTATTGGGCCAGTATACACAACCCTTTACTTGTGAATAGCAGATGATAAGTGCGTATTAGAAGGAAGGACTCTAAGGCCTGGTTAGACCAGGGGTGCCCAAACTTGGTCCTGGAGAGGGCCGGTGTGTCCTGCAGAGTTTAGCTCCAACTTGCCTCAATACACCTGCCGGGAAGTTTTTAGCATGCCTAGTAAGAGCTTGATTAGCTGGTTCAGACGTGTCTAATTGGGGTTGTAGCTAAACTCTGCAGGACACGGGCCCTCCAGAACCAAATTTGGGCACCCCTGGGTTAGACTAAACCGGATTAGACCACAGTTCAATTAGGACAT